CATTTGTGTATAACAACATATTATTAACAGTTTATAAACTGTTTGAGGCAGGGGTTCATGTATATATACAGGAAGCCTATCAATCTGGTTTGGACAAACATTGATCATGTTCTCTGTGTTGGTATGGTTGTTTTAAACTGTATACAAACAGTTTAACCATAATTGATTTTGTGTTGAAAATTCCGCTCATGTGTTAAAAATTTGTTGATAAACAGTTGATATCCTGTTGAAATCATGGTGGAATAATTTGCTTGTGAATTATATTAAAAACTGAACATATTTAGGCTGGAAAAACTTTCAGAATTACATTATAGCATTGTTTTCATAGTATCCTTACGTGTTTAAGATGTGTTGTTCATGTTGATGTCATTGAAAACCAACTTCCTTATGTTTATGAATCAAAGATATTTACATGTATCTCTCTCTCGCCTTTTTTTTTTTTTTTTTTTTTTTTTTCCTCTCTCTCTCTCTCTCTCTCTCTCTCTCTCTCTCTCTCTCTCGCTCGCTCGCTCGCTCGCTCTCTCGCTCTCTCAGAATAGAAGCATGTAAATCACGCACATTCTCTATAATACCCGCCATAGTCATTGCAGACCTTCTTATTTAGGTACAGTTGAATAAGTGTAACATCAAATCAATATGTGTCTATCTCGCAACATAATTGTGCAACTGCGGAGTTGGCGGATGAACAAAAAAAATATATAATATTTTTTTAAGTACGTAAGAACTCATTTTTTATAATTAGGTAAGTGAATTTTTTTTTTTATATATGTTTGTTTCTTAGGAACGTTGACGGACGCTCTAGGAACATATTATTTTTCAAATTATGAAATGTGAATAATTATTTTGTTTTAGGTGACACTTTTTATAGCTGGTTGATGCCTACATTTATGTGTGGCAATGAGTATGGTGAGTCATAAAATAGTATGCACCTACCGACCACATACGCAAACACTAGTAGATACGTGATAGTAAAAGACTAAGGATGATTATAAAATAAGAGCGTAATATCCTTTATGAAAAGTGCTTAATGCTGACGGTGAAGTGTATTATTTTTCAAATTGTGAAGTGTGAATAAGTCTTTTGTTTCATGCGATACTTCTTGTGGTCAATTGGTGCTTATATTTACATGTTGTAACAGATACGCTAAGCCATAAAATAGTATGCACCTACCGACATCATACACAACACATTGTTAGACGTGTGATAGAAGACTAGGAATAATTATAAAATAAGAGCGTGATATTTTTTTTGAGAAGTGCTTAATGCCGACGATGCTTGTATATATATATATATATATATATCATATATATATATATATATATATATATATATATACTAAGCTACCAGCCGGGCCGCCCGGGTCTCGGGTGGCCAGCCCGTGCAAAAACCAGAGAGGGTCCCAGCAAAAACAAAACAAAATAAAAAAAATCCGAAAAAAAAACTATGTTATGCAGAAACATTAACTGAATAACTTTTGCCTTAGGGTCACATTGAAATTCCTCACCAAATATAGAAAAAAAATAATAATAATAAATAAATATATATATATATATATTTTTTGGCCCGGCCGGGCAAGTGAACCCGTGCCACTCTGGTAGCCTAGTATATATATATATATATATATATACAGGGTCACCAGCTCGAACGTACGGAGGTCCCCGGGCAGACCTCCGTACGTATGGGCGTTCGAAGTCCCGTACGGGGTCCGAACCCGACAGCGTTCGGCCCCCGCCAAAAATTATTTCGGGGCCTAAACATAATTATGTTTTTCTGAATGTTTTTTTATGAGTTTTCTATGACGTGAGGTACAGGCATGTAAATTTTCAAGTCATTTGGCTAAGCCAAATAAGAATTAAAAATCGCCAAAGATGGCGGTGTCAAAATGTGCTCGCCCACGTATTTTTCCACTTTTTACTTTTTGTTTTCACTTTCGTTCGGGGTCTAAACAATTTTATTATTTTTTGAAATTTTTTCACTGGGTTTTGTATAATGTGAAGTACACATCTGTAAATTTTCAGGGCATTTAGCTCTGCCCAAAAAAAAATGAAAAATCGCCAAAGATGGCGGTGTCGAAAATATGCTCACACACTCACTAAATTTAATTCTTTTTTTATTTTTATTTATTTTTATTATTAGTATTTATTTTCCATATTTTATTTTTATTTCAAATTTGGTAAGGAATTCGGATATAATGCTCAGGCAAATCTTGTTTAATTTATTTTTCTCCATAACATATATTTTTTCAGATTTTTTTGATGACTTGTTTTTTGTTTTTTTTTTGTTTTTTTTTTTCGCGTTCGGCCCGAACAGCCGAACGCATCCCCAAGGGGTCCCATACGTTCGGGCGTTCGGGTTCGGCCGTTCGGACCGTCCCGAACGCCGGTTACCCTGTATATATATATAATATATATATATATAAGTTGATGAAACTCTGACGAAATAGTTTGTCACAACCGCTCGTTTGTTGTGCTCTTCTCTCTCCCTGCTAACGGTTTACTGTGCAGTTCTATTTTATGACCAAACTACCAGTCGTGCCGCCCTGGTCATCTTATTTTCTCAGACGGACCATGCAAGCACCAGAGAAGGTCATAGCAAAAAAAAAAAATGTAATGTAGACAAGTAAAGTGAATATTTTTGTGTTACGGTCACATCGAATTTTTTTACCATATTTAAAACAAAAAATAATTTTTACGGTAACCATCTAGACGTCTGGACCGGGTTCCAAACAATTTAGTGTCCGGTGTTTGGTGTTTGGTCCTGATGTCCGGATGGAGGCCCCTAGAAAAAAAAAAAAAAAAAGGAGGCGGCCCAGAACGTTTATCGGGTCCTGGCCGTCCATCGAAAAATAACGGGGTTATTTTATAGTGTCGTTCCACCCCACCAGACATGGCCTAGAGGTCCGGACACAAGACACTGCAAGTTGTTGAGGTGACGGGTTTCGCACAGGCCCGAGCAATTTCAAAGTGGCGGTTTTGATGTGGCGTTCGTCGCTGCTGCCCGTCGGGGGGAGAGAAAGAGAGAGAGAGAGCACTGACAGTGCTGCCGGTCTGAAGACTCTGACGTTCTGACTTGAACTGCAAAGTTCGAACTTTTAAGTTATATATAAAGTTATAAACTTAAATTACTAAATCCAAAGTTCAAAGTTCAAAGTTAATCATACTTTTTTCAAAAAAAAAATCTTTTTTTCTTCAGTCTTGTATCTGCTTCGCACTGTTTGCAACTCCGCATGTCTGCTAGAGGGTAAGAGGGACTTACCTGGGCCCCATAGGTGAGACTTCACAATAGTTTAGGACCGACATTCGTCAGCGACCTGCATCAACTCAAATCGTCACCTTTAGCTGCTCAGTATACATGGGCATCATCATCGTTATCATCATAGGGAAAGAGAAAGGAAAGTTCTTCTTGTTCTTTTTTTTTTTTTTTCTCCATGATCCTTCCTCCAACCTTCCATGGCCACTGCCTCTTTCCTTTGTTTTTACAGAGAGAAGGGGAGAGAAACAGAAACAAGAGAGCGACTATTTTAGACATTTGGATGCCCAAGTCTGAAACATGACACTTTGATGGAAACAATTGTTTGGAGAGATTGTTGGTAACTATCTCGCTCTCCCTCTTTTCTTCCTCCACCATCGTCGATTGCGACCTCCATCATCCGTGGTTTGTTTACTGATGTGTGTGTGAGCAAGGAGTAGCCTTTCGTCCACTTATGTACACCCTACTTGCACATCATCATGCATGATGCTGTTTCGTGGATACAGAGTCCTGGGTCTTTCCGAGTCAGATTGTTCTTTGAGCCTTCCGCTGTGCTACATTGCTTTATTATTCTTGTGGTACATTGCTTTATTATTGTTCTGCTTGATTGCATTGCCTGGTTATTGTTCGCATTGCTAGTCTATTATTCTTTCCTTCACATTTGGTGATCGTTTGGGTTTGTGCGTCGCCTATCTGAAGGTAGGCATGCGTCATCCTCCCTCTCTCTCTCCTTCTTCCCCAATGCGTTCTCTCCAAACTGTCATGCTGGCAACAAGCCATATGACACAAATGGTCGCAAGGGGCATTGAACCATTCCCCCCCTACGTCTTTGACCGACAAGCATCAATTTACTGCACTTTTTAGACACCAAAAAATACCAATATTGCCACCAATAGTGCCAGAGGCCCTTAGCGGTTGACCAATATTGAACGACTTGTCCTCCACCTGCAGAGTTCCCACGCACGGAAAAAAGATCTACGCGACCTCCCATTCCTACCAGAACTACATCCCTGGTACACCCAGAACGATACCCCTTACAAGCCCCTGTTCCCAACGGTCGTCCCAGAAGAAAGAGCCAACCTCGCGGACACGCGGACCCTACTAGACTCGTCTTGAGCCTGCGAACAATTGGGCATAGTGAGCCGGGCCGAGTGTAGCTTTTGAACTCGGGTCTGCTGCAAACAAAAGGCGGGCATGCCACCTGGACGCATGCTGCCTGTCCGGCTCGCAAAAGCGCTGCTCAGAAAAGTCGGGAATGCCACCTGGACACCGGTGGCAGAAAGCTGGAATGCCACGTGGCTTTGGAGTTGTCCTGGCTGGGCCTTCCTGCGCATGATGGTGATCACATTGTCCGTCAAGTGCACGTACTGGCCCCGCCCTCCTCCCCCAGACAATTGTGATCGAAGTGTCAGTGTCCGTAGGGTCGACTGAGTCTTGTGCTGAGGGTATTCGGCGGAGTGTTGTTCTCTGTCGCGGCTACGGTACGTTAAAAGCTTGTTCTCGAATGCAAGTAACTGTTGGCGATGGCGTTGGCGGACGGATGAGAAATTATGAGCGACGGAAGAGAAAATGTGGCTCTCTGCTGTGCAGGCAGGTGGACGGATGAGAAATTGTGAGCGACGGAAGAAAAAACCAAAAGCGAAATCCCAAACCTGAACTTATGCTCGTGCCACAGAGCGTAGGTGCGACGGACAAGGAAATTCTCTTTGCCGCGGTTGTGGATCGGTTCGGGTTGGTATGCCGGGTTCTTGGGCTTTTCAGAGACAGGACGGGGAAAGAGAAAAAGTAAATTGTAGGAGGTGCCAGAGGAGGGTGGAGCGAGAGCAGGGACGGGAGGGAGCGTCGCATGGGGCCCACGCTCGGAACAGTCCGCTCGGCGGTCAGGACAGGTCCGTCCGCAATCCGTTTGTGTTTGTCTTTCCCGTTCAATCGTGGACAGGCAGGCAGAGAAAGGTGATGCTGTGTCAGTCTAGTGGGATGCTGGTGCAGGAGTAGGAGGGGGGGAAGGAACAGTAGGGAGGGTGGTGTAGGTGTTCTCCGTCTATACTTCTCTCCCTCTCTCTTCAATTGTCTGAATCATCCCCCGAAGTTCCATACCATGTTAGCAAGATGGGCCCCTCAACAGAGGGCGAACTGATGCGTTTAACGTTGCCTCAGCTCAAGTCTTTCTTGGTAAGTCGCGACGTGCTGCTGCCGTTGAAGAATCAACCGAAAGCCTTCTATGTGGACTTAGCGATCAAGGCTTTGTCACCGTCAGGCGGTGGTAGCGTGCTCCCTCCTGCAGCAGCAGCTGCTGGTGTTGCTGCCGCTGCTGCTACCTCTCGGCAACGACCCCCCTCCTCCTCCTCCCCTTGCCCACCGTCGGACGGGCACGTCGTCGTCGGTGCCGAACGGTTGAGTCCTCCACGGCGTCCCCCTCCGCCTTCCACTCCTGCTCCTCCCCATCCTCCTGATCTTCCTACCCCAGCTGTGTTTGCGGAGGACGGGCAGACCTGGATGCACATTGCGGGCGTAAGAGTACCTGGAACAGGGGGAGGAGGAGGTGGAGGACTAGGAGGAGGGGTGGTGGCTAAGTCGGTGATGCGGCAGGGACTCTTGAGCGCGGCAGGTGGTGCTGATGGCGGTAGTGTCGCCGCAGAGCCCGGTGTTGCCTTCGCGCCAGCGCTTGGCTCCGTTCCATTGCCGCTGTCGCGCGGGAATCATCTGCGAATGTCGAGCGGCGCAAGCGTTCGTCCGTCCCCGCCGCCGCCGTCGTCGGTTCCGCCAGCGGCGGTGGATGGGTCCAGGGCGGAAATGCCATCACCATCGAGGGGACAGAGACCGAGCCCCCCTCGTGCTTCGCGCCCCAGCGGGACGACAAGATCCCTCCCTCCGACTCCCCCAACCGCGGGCACCAAAAGGGTGGCCAATGCTACTGCTTTGAGGTATGCCATACCGGACACCAATAGGGCAGGAGAACAAATCATGAGTCATCATCAGCACCATCATGCTCAGGCACGTCAACACTCTGCCACTGCCTGCAACTCGGGGACGGCGCCCTCTTTGCCGCCCTACTGCAGCACGACGTCATTCAATTTCAGTACAGACCCGGATTTGGATGCATACGAAGAGAAGCCGGTGATAGCGGCGCTGGGAACGCCGCCCATACCCCCTCCACCACCCGTACCAAGTTCCCCTTGCGTGGGCTTCTCTGGCGACAGGGGGGACTGGAAGCCTGGGGCTTCGTCCTTGGCGCGTCAGCATCTGTCTCCGCGAAAGCGGGGACCTGTATCGCGTCAGCAAGCAGGTGGGTTGACCGCGAAAGGGGGAGGAAGAGATTCTGAAGGCAATGTCGGGAAGGGAGCGATGAGGACGCCGGAGTTTATGACGACGGCAATGAGAATCGCGAGAGGGGAAAGGGCTGATCTCTTGCGAAAGGGCGGTGGCCAAGATGAGGGCGGGTGGGGGGAGGAGGAGGGAGTCGTAGGGGACAGCGGAATTGGCGCATGGACCGTTGCAATCATTGGTCTTGTACTGCTGTGGGCGATTTTGTGGTCGATGGTGGACACTACGCGGCTGTGGCCGAAGCCATTTTGCACGGATTCTAGCGGCGGCATAAATGGAGGAGGTAGGTTACCGCATCAATCACCACATAATCATGACTATTTTCCGACCACGTCTCTTCATTACTTACTCGACGACAATTACTTTCCTCTCTCCTGTTCTCTCTCGCGTCTCGCGCTCGTCTGGCTTCTGTTGTCAGGATGCGTAAAGAAGTTTGGATGTATGTAAATGCGTATGCGTGCATACGTGCGTCTTTTTGTACTTGTGGTTCCTCCATCGTCGTCTCGCAGTTCCTCCTTCACGACTTCTGGAGCACTCAAAATCGGCTTGTTTATTGCAAAGAAAAAAACGCTTCCGAAGAAGGATCCTCAAATACTAACGTCTGGATACGACAATTCTCCTTTATACAACTGTGACAAAGTCATCGGTTTGAAAAGCCAAAAATATATCGAGTGAATATGTCTCTCCTTTATCCCGGCTCGTCGAAACGAAGCCACTCCTTCTTGCGATCTTGTCAGAGAAGTCAGGCCGGGGCACGTGTGTGAGTTCTGTGCGCATGCGGTCCCGTTCACGCTTTCAAAGCCTGCGTAATGTCCCCACCTCTCTTCGTCTTCCCTTCTTCCCTCTTCCGTTATGTTTTGCTACATGTTCTGCTCTTGCACTCTTTCTCAAGATAGTAAGTAACTCGGCCAAACGTCACTGCGTAGACTGGGGGAAGATTGTCACCTAGGCTGGTGCGACATCATCCTTTCCCGTTTCCATCTCGGCTTCTGCTCATGCTACAACCATCGTACAAGAAAACTGAAAATGCTTTCGTTCTCGTCGTATCTGCCACCCCGTCTACGCTGATGTACCACCATCTGCCTCTTTCTCCTGCTCTTCTGGACAGTCCCTTTTCCTGTTCCCCCTTACGTCTGCTTATGCTCTCTCCCTGGATGGATGTAGAAGGTGGAGATCTCTCTGGATGATGTATAGGGAAGATCCCTCCCCTTCTCTCCCACCGCTCTCTCGCCAAGGATCCCTTCTCCTGCCTGCTGCCTTCGTTCTCGTCGGGCCCCTTCTCTCAACTCGCTTCTGCCTTGGTCTCTCATCGTTGTTGTAATTTTTTTGCTCTACGAATGCGCGCTTCGTGAAGAGAATACTTTCTTGCTCTCGTACGAATCTTCGCTCCGTGATTGTCGAACAGCCTCTTGCGTACAACGAATCTGCGCCCGATCTCTCTCCATGCTATCGATCGAACACCCCGGTCAGGTGCTGCATGCTGATTTCAGGATAATCTTCTTCTCGGAGGAATCGCGCCTCTTTTGCTCTCTCTCTTTCTCTCTGTAGGTGAGTACAGATCTGTTTGTCCTGTCATTCAATTGCGAGTAGTTAGTGCATGTCGCTCGAAAAAATCGGCTGGAATGAAGCAGGCGGTGGACTGTGAATGAGGAGGAGTGCGTAATATGACTGACGGCCATCAGTTCATTGCTGTCTTTCAATTGCGGGTCGCTTATCGTCCAAGATCCAGTGGATGAGGTATGAAAGAGTATAGATCAGGTGTAAGCTGCGCACGTGAAAACAGAATCGAGTGGAATGAAGCGGGCGAAAAGAACTTCATCATATCATACGAAATGTAGATGACGATCGCGATTCCCAGGAGAAGAGGATGTGGTTACAGCTCGAGAAGGGAGCACATCACTTTTCCACATAGAAAGAAAGAAGTGACCATATGAATAGATGAATGCCAGAATTTAAGTTTAGATGGGCCTGCGCAGTGGAAGCAATCACGTAAGACAGATCGAGAGCAGTGTTGAAAAATCCACGGCGATTGAGCTGGGGAAGGGGAGGGTTAGGGGGATGAACAGGGGAGGGACGAGCGGACGCTTTGTTTGTTTTTCAATAAGCGGTGCAGCGCAGAACCGCGTCAGCAAACGGCGATTTTGCCTCGGGATCACCGGGACAGGGCTCGTAGTGAACGTCGCTGCGGGCTGATCATTCTCGAATGTTCATGCTCGATAGGACTTACGCCGGGATAGGCATGTTTCTAATTAATTAGTGGATGGCCATCAGGACCATCATGAGGTTGATGGAATTTTTATGCATGTTGTTGGATTTTGACGGACGGGATTTTGATGAATGGTTTATTGATATAGCGAAAGAGATTTTCTGTGGTAGTTCAATATCTATAGGCATTGACAGCTAGATGCCGCGTGCAGACTTAGGTTATATGCACAGTAGGACAGTCACGAGTGCATTTGCCCGTCTTTACGGTCAAATCTTGGAGAGTCCCAACGCATATGGTGAGGAAACAATCGAGGGTAATTTGTTTGCAAGAGATCGACAACGTTCTCTTTGTGTTCCTGTAAGCGGCGCGCAGTTGGTACATGTGACAGGAGCTTGCGTGGTAGGTGGTGATGATAGTTTTGAAGAGTGTCGCAACGACTATGAGCGAAATGACGCAGCAGTTTTAAGAGGGCAGGAGGACAAGGGGTAGCAATTGGTAGTAGGCCTTGTTTGCCGGAAGGTTTTGGCGACGAATCAATCCTCTTCGCTCCGTTTTAATGAGCACGAGCGTAGTGGATATAGCAGCCATCCAACGGAGTAACTACGCCTCCACCTAGTTTCTCGTCTTCTAGTCGAGTATTGCTGCTCACAGCAACTTGGACCTAGGTAACTACGTTGTTGTATCCGGTACGTGTAGACGGATGTGGCGATTTATGAGATCGAATCGAGAACGAATAAATGATGTCATCTTTGACATCAGGAAGAGGAGTCCACTGATAGATCGACTTCGGCCAAGAAATCAGAGCTGTAGCATTTGCATTTGACTTGTGGTGTAGTAGGAAGTTCTTTGCCGGCAGCTAGGTGATGTCATCGTTGCCATCAGGAATGAGTAGTAGTCTACTGATAGATTAAATTCGGCCAAGAAATTAGAGTTGTGGCATTTGCATTTATCTATGTATAGTGGGAAGTGTTCTTTGCCGGCAGCTAGGAATTACTATTCTTACACGCAGACTGAGTGATAAGCTTTGTCGTTCTGTTTCCACGATGGGGTTATACGTACGATGTTACGATCCACACATGGACTTGCCGCGTAGAGGAAGTAGGAGGTCGATCAGCATGACGACTGCCTTTCATAGGTACGGAGCTCGATCGGCATGATGAACGCCTTCCGTAGGTGCTCAATTATCCTATGAAGCTATTTAGTTCACTGCCCGCATCGAGGTAGTTGGTTTTACTACTGGTGTCAGGACTCTCTTGCGCTTCTCCCTCTCAGATTCCCTGCACGGGTGTCCTGACCTGCACGTGCAGAGACGTTTCCGTCGTAGAGGTCTGTAACTCACAGAGCCCCTCAGGGCGTTTTTGACAATTCAGCTTGATGAAACCTTAGGGCTGAGTCGCAGCTTGTCATGATGATGATGATGATGATGACGACGGCGTGTCACGTCCCGCCGGTGGGAGCCTTGCATCGGTGTATTTTGCTATGCATGAAGTGTCGTGCAGCGGGAGGGCTATTTATAGCGCAGTGACGGCGCGGAGTCGTTTTTGGTAGGATAGTGAAGGTGATCTTGTAGCAATCAATCAATCAATAAACTCTACAGCTATTAAACAATCCTACATATCAAGCTATTCATTGAATTTAAGGAAGCCGATTTGTAGTGCTCAACCGATTTTGGGTTCCCGGTCAGTGTTTTGTTGTGCCAAGATAGATGACATGAACAGAACTGCCTACATATCAAGCTGTTCATTGAATTCCAGTGATCCGTTCGTATGTTGCCAAACCGTTGTCCTGGTTGTCTTCCCCAACCTGCCGCAGCTTGCGATTTCCAAGGGCGATTGGGTCTTCGTCTGCGTCCCGCGACGAGGCGGTCGCGGCTCATCGAGTTGATAAGTTCGGCACGGACCTGCCTCTCACAAACCTGTACAGTCACGTTGTAGGATATCTGCTCCATCTCCTGTCCCCTGCACCTGATCCTCACCAGCTTTCTGCGCACCCGTCCCGTCATCGACTATTGAACTCACTAAACGTAATCAGGACCCCGCCTCGGCTGTTCAGCCGTTCGTGCATGCAGACGGTCTGGATCTACAACACTATTGAACTCACTAAACGTAATGAGGACCCGCGATCTGGACCACTCCCAAGCACAGGCACCCTGAATCATACATGGCCCAACCGCGATCTGGGCCTATTTAGCGGCCCTCTGCTGCCACCGGGCAATGATCTCCGCCTTCTGCTGCCACGGGGCAGTGATCTGCGCCCTCTACCGGGCGCAGTCCACGCCTCCACCGCACTGAGAGAGAGAGAGAGAGAGAGAGAGAGAGAGAGAGAGAGAGAGAGAGAGAGAGAGAGAGAGAGAGAGAGAAGCGCAAGCCATCACAGCCACCAAGCTGCCACCCGGCTTCCTCGGCTATCCGCGCATTGCAAAACCGCCCACTGTGTCGTCTCATCCGGTCTACAAACGGGTGACAAGCGGTGTGTGTGTGTGTTTGTGTGGAGAGAGAGAGAGAGAGAGAGAGAGAGAGAGAGAGAG